ACTGTCTCTCTGTAGCTCAGTTGGTTACAGCTCGACAACTGTCTCTCTGTAGCTCAGTTGGTTAGAGCTCGACAACTGTCTCTCTGTAGCTCAGTTGGTTAGAGCTCGATATCTGTCTCTCTGTAGCCCAGTTGGTTAGAGTGCTGCACCAGAATCGCAGAGCCGCAGGGTTCGATTCTAACCAGAGTGCCTGTAGTTGAATTTTTCACAACTACTCATGGGGTTAGGTCTAAAAATTGTATAGCGTATTACTCGAAATTTCCATCTACAGAAATCCTTGAAGTGTTAATTTCCTATTTTCCCTATATGTGTTATAGGTATTCATCACAAATGCCTTACGAAGTTTCCAGTCAAGTGCAGGGTTGCTGTCAAACGTGGCATGTGCAATGGTCAACAAAATGAAAACTTCTCCAAAAAATCACGCAGGGCGTGTTTACACATTTGTACACTTTGTAGAAGGTGCGTATAAGTTACAAGCTTTATTAAGAGGATATATTTTTCTATGTCGCATGTGTGTTTTTAACGAAACTAACGTTGAAACGTCATGACCGAAAATCTTTCTGACGCACCTGCACACAAAATCACTTCGTTTTAAAATTGATGTCCATGCAATTATGCAGTTTATTTGCTACCTTTTTAAATGCATCTGACTGTTGAGAAACTTGTGAATGAAAATATAATCTGTTAATGGTGCAATAATATAATTGAATTTATATTTACCACAATGTAAGCAAAACTTGCTTAACTTCAAAGCTCAAACATTGTTTTCTCTTTAGACTCTCTTTGGCATATAGCATGAACATACATTATGTTAAAATAAAGTCCGGTCCACCTAACAAACGCAAAAGCGCGCTAGTTGTTACAGGTCTGCAAACCTAGTGTAACAAGGTTGTTGTCATGCCGATATTAGGATGTATTCACACTGCTTGTTCCCAGTTGTTGCGACAAGTCTGAACAAGTTGTTGTCACCTTGTTATTAGAAAGTTCGACTTCCGATACCAATACCGATACTAACAACATGTCATGCGCATGCTCTCTGCTCGCAAGAAGCACAAGCACAAGGACAAGTGTATTGGAAGTCACCACTACCGAAGTCGGCCTTGTATTGGAAGTCGGGGGAATTGTAAGATAAACTCATATAAATCGGATATTTCATAATTTTTACGATAAACATGTAAACTATTTGTTTATTAGCATCGTCTGAGTCGTGTTTTAGTCGGAATTTTAGCTCAGCTGCCGTTTAGTATATCGCACATCACTCGGCGACGATTAATGTGTTTTATACTTTATCTGTCGTGATAACTTAACGCTTTAAAATTCCCGGTATCAAAATGAGAACAGAAGTGAAAACATTGGTATCGGTATCGGTATTGGAAGTCGAACAAAAACTCTCTATTGCAAGGGTGATGAAGGTAACAGACCGGCTGCAACACGATGTTCGTAACACGTTGTTATGAGCTTGTTATCAACTTGTTACGTGCGCAGAAGATATCAAAATTGTGGAACAATTTGTTGCGAGTCTGTCAGCCTCGTCAAACACAGTTACTGGGCATGATCAACGAGATGATAAACATTAGTTCCAGACTTGTCAACAACGGAGAACAAGCAGTGCGAAGACAGTGAGTATGGTGCAAATTTAATAAAATTAGAACAGTTAAAGGTTGGTTTACATTTCTGTGATCACAGTAGGAATTTTACATAGCTAAATTTTAAGTTCTAAAGGATTTGTAAGAAATGTTTGAGGGATCTGGCTCAGTGTTAAACACAAAATCAGTTCCCACAATCATTTCTTACAAATCCTTCAAAACTTAGAATTTACCTATGCAAAATTCCTGTTGTGATTACAAAAACTTTGATAGTGCAAACAACGCCTTATAAACTTATGGTTTGTATTTGTTTCTTTCGTAGGCCTTCGAATACAATCCACGGTAACAACACGTTCAAAGTAAGACAGAATATCAGTTCATTAAATGATAATAAATTAGGTCATGCACAGATTCTGCATTCCAAGCACAAACCAAAATTACGTGGTTTGGAAAATACTAAAACTCTTCACAGACATAAAATCACAAAGCTTAACGACAGTAAAATAGTGAACAGCCAAGCGAAGACGCTCGTCAAAAAGCCGAATCGCACAAAACCAGCAGAGAAGTCAAGAAATTATAATCATTAATCATTCGTGCGGTTTGCTTTGTGCCTGCCTCGTCGTATAATAACGTTTGTCGTATACAGCTAATTCAAAAAAAGGTTAATTGTCCTTTGCAAACCTTAAACTCTAAACCTTATAAATCTTAAACTCTAAGCGTGTAAAGCATAATTGGAGCATCATTTAATCAGTTTAGAAATCATATATGCAGGGCCCATTTCTTAGACCCCGTTTACACGGTACCAGACGAATTTGGAACCGGACTAAAATTCGTCCGTTTTGGCCGTGTAAACACACGAGAACCAACGGTTTATAGTTTAAGGTTTGCAAAGGACAACCTTTTTTAAAGTGGCTGTAATTGCGTTGGGATCATGCGTGCAATTAACACAATTTTGATAACCACTGCACGAAATTCTCTTTTGGAAAAATTTTGGTTATTGTGAAAAATAGTTTTCGATTCGCTCACATGCAAACATAGGCGTAGAGTATGGGTGGGTGGGGGGGGGGGCTCCAGGGCTCGAACCCCTCCAGAAATCTTACACCGGGGGCATAGCCCCTGCAGACGTTTTGCAGAACTAATAGCTGTTATTGTTGTAAGTAACTTGCCATATCGTCAGCGGTTTACTCTCAGGAACATAAAAAATAATAAAAACATAGAAACAGATAAAAAAACGTTTCGTAACACAGAAAAATTTTGTTTACATGCTCTTAAATACTTCGTGTATTTCTATTATTATGTCTCAGCAATGGTTTTCGTACACGCTTAAATGAAGTATATGGGGAATATAATGGACTATTCCCCAATTAACCAAAATTTTGATCTCAACAAGTCTAGACAAAATTCCATCATAGCATGAAAGAGCATCACAAAATTAGCAATATTCCAAAGTTTCGTTGCAAAATGTTGTAAAATGCAGATAATATAGCCTTGCGAAGTTTGCAATTTTCAGTCATTTTGTATTACGCACAGAAGTGGATAACCACTTCCCGTTTGTAATCTAAAATGACTGAAAATTGCAAATTTCGCAAGGCTATATTCGCATTTTACAACATTTTGCAACGAAACTTTGGAATATTACTAATTTTGTGATGCTCTTTCAAGCTGTGATGAAATTTTTGTCTAGACTTGTTGAGTCAAAAATTTTGGTTAATTGGGGAATGGTCATTGCTTTGATGATAAAATCATGTTTATTCATGACTTCATGTGACACTTCTTTCAGTTCCTTGTTCCTTTTATGTAACTTATATAACTTTTTTCAACAAGATTTGATTGTGTTGTTTCCTCTAATCAATGGTCATTGTCAATTATGTGCAATATCTAAATATTCATTATTCATTACCTATACGGTTATATGTTAGAGTTATAAACCGAGAAGGAGGTTTATAACTGATATATATCAGTTATAAACCGACTTTCGAGGTTTATAACTAACTTATATCTCATTTGTGGTGGTTTTCTAACATATTTCGTCATTTTCAAAAAATTTTGATAAAAAATTCTCGCTTTTTGTCGAAAAGTTTGATGTAATTATTTATTCAAGGTATATTAGCTAGTTATAAACCTCGGACGATCAAAGAAAACCGATACAAATGAGATATAAGGGTTATTATTGTTTCAGCCCCCCAAGACAAAACAAAAACTCTACGCTTATGCATGCAAATTAAAGTCGACCACGCAGTGTTATGTATCTTTATAAAATAACATGTATATAACGGGTGCTCTGATTGGTCGAAACCCGTGTTTGGATCAGGCCATCCAAACATGGAAGACTATCGTGTTGTTGTTATTTTGTAAAACAATTACTTTATGGTTTCCATGTTTGGATGGCCTGATCCAAACACTTGGGAATGTTGCGCGAGTTAAGAAAAGCGGGCAAAATCACTCGCCTTCGGCTCGTTTCGCTCGCTTTTCTTAACTCTCGCAACATTCCCGCATGTTTGGATCAGGCCATCCAAACACGGAAACCATAAAGTAATTGTATATTAAATGGTCATGCAGCAGATATTTTCTATTGAACGTCGTGTGACGTCCACAGTATGTTTTTTTTTGCTATAAAGGCTCCATTTTTTTATATCGCATCTTGTAAAATAGCCCTGAAGATGGAGTTGTTATTCATTAAAATGATTATTTTAAGCTCGTGGTGTGATTTACAAGCACTGGAGAAATTTGGAAAGCTCTTCAACGTTTTGAGCGAAAGCTCTTCATCAAGACGTGTGTAACTCCTAACCCTCAATAGTCTGCAATAAGCTGCCGTGGTTTGTGTCTGAACTGCACGCGTAAAAACGCACAAGTTGTGACAAACCTGCAGCAGACTTGTGTCAATGCTGTTTCAACGACTTGTCATCAGGATGTGATCGTACTGCCTATATTCCCAGCTTGTTGACAAGTTGTCAGACGTTTTCGTCAAAAGGGACGTCAGATTGTCTTAAAACTGTGTTTGTGTCAGTATATCCCGTGGCGCAGCTAGCCATGGCAACTAGTCATGTTATGCAAACAATGCGCACTCAGATAGTCTAAAAACAAGAAATTTCTAAAGGTTTGAATAATTAAAAACTAAAAAAATTTCATAGCATGACCAGCTACTAGGTCTAGTTTTGCCACTGCAATTATCATAGAAATAAAATCAAAGACGCACACATTTGATGATACTTTCATAAAAACAGACCATCGAAACGAAAAACAATTTAGCATAACGAATCGCGAGTTGTAGATTTAATTTTCGCTGGAACTTCGACAACAGCATTGCAAATTGACGACCTTTGGTGTTCTAATCCAACGGATTTTATTGTCCAGCAGGTAAGCAAACAGCTATAGCTATATACCTTTTCGTTTCGTAGACATATTGTTTGGTGTTTAAAATATTTCTTTTATAAAGCACAAAAACGTTTTTCCCAGTAAATTACTCATGGCCATGGGTTAGTTTGCATGCGTTAGGTTATTGCCCTTATCACGCGAATGACGACAGCTTTTTGCATTATACCGTTCCACCATTCCTCTCTAGCTATCGTCTATCAACAGACCCATATGTATTTCGATTTGCAACTTGTATTTTAATTAGTATATGAAAATTTAAAACATGAATGTTGTATTGTCGCAATTTGTAAAACGCAAATGATTAATTAATACAACAGTTTAATACTTAAATATGTTTTTAATCGTTTAGTGTCGCAGCTTCATTTTATGACTCAGCTACAATTTTAATTCGACGCAGATTTTAATTTCATGTCCTCAAATGCTCGCTAAATATGCGAATATATAAAAGAAAGAAATAACATCAGGATTGACAGAGATACACTATTACACTTATACCTTAATATACCGTATTTGCTTGTTCGAAGGCGGCGGTCCTCATAAAATATTTTATTTGTAAACGATAACAAGAAATATTCTAAACAAAATAGAACATGAAAGCACTGAAATACAGAAGAAAAAATTTCCGAGGATTGTAACCTCGTATCCACGGTGTTTTCGTTCTGTGGTTGGGCGTCACGAACAATTCGTCAGACAGTGCTTCGATTAAGCGCCGCGTTATTGTAAATAAGTGCGGCGCCTATTCGAGGGCGGCGATATTGAATAATTTTGCTTTCATAGGCGGCGCTTAATCGGGGGCGGCGCTCAATTGGGGGCGACGCTTAAGTGAGTAAATACGATCCTAACGCGCTAATTGAATAACTGAGCTATTCTTCTTGGTTTGACAAGCAATCATTCACAGTACCACCACATGTGGTTCAGGAAAAAGCCGGACTCATGTTTAAAAAACCCGAACTTGACTTTTGAAAACCCGGACTCGAAATAGCAAAATCCGGATTCAAAACAAGGACTCTGTGTTTAACATGATAAACAATGATCTCTTTATAAAAATAATCAGTATAAATAAATTTCTAGAGTTCACTATCTGGCGTAGTAAAGAATCCGAGTTGCATCGGTAATAATTCGCGGATTTGTGCTCTCGCGCGGGTGTCCCTCTCTCTTCCCGTTTTCTATATAGATATAAATAGAATACTTTATTCAAAAGCAATAAGCTTTGGTTTCGAAAGATGAAAATCTTTTTTTTTTCTAGTGACTCAGTGTTTTGTGTC